CCTCTGAGTGTTGAGTGTCGACCATGTCCTCTGAGTGTTGAGTGTCGACCAGATCCTCTGAGTGTTGAGTATCGACCAGATCCTCTGAGTGTTGAGTATCGACCAGATCCTCTGAGTGTTGAGTGTCGACCAGATCCTCTGAGTGTTGAGTATCGACCAGATCCTCTGAGTGTTGAGTATCGACCAGATCCTCTGGTCGCTCCCCGAGGCCCCAATCTCTTCAGACAGGGATGATCTTGTGTACCTCCTCACTGTTCACTCGTTTCCAAATGGATTTGTCCACATCTAACCAGTCATGCAGTTAGTTTACCGCCAAGAAGTGCAGTACCAGCCCATCTGTCTGCCTATGTTTCCTAGCATAGCTGCGTACCATAGAGATGCCATAGAGATAAAGTACACAGAGGACTTAAGGTCTCCTGGACCTCTGAGGCAATGCTTGGTACTCAACCTTTCCCAGCATGCATTGTGATTCTATTACAGACACGACATGTACGTGCAACTGGCTATCAGGTCAGCGACAAGTTGCAGTGACTGACTCTATCCCCCTTCTCAAACAAGATGTTATGGTATTGAAGTTTCTATTTATAAACGGAGTGTTTTCTCGCTGCTTCACTGCTTGACACAAGTGTGTATTGTCGGTTGTTGAATTCAAACGCACCATATCTTCTTAGAAGTTTTATTATCTCCTGATGATAAGTTAGCTCAGTTAAGATTATCGTCACTGCAAGAATAGCAGCTAAACTTACCTGTCTATAGCTGTCACGTGTCACCTGTTGCAGTTGCTGTGCTACCATTACTACTGCTGCAGCTACTACTATAACTATTAGTAGTAGTAGAAGTAGCTGTAATAGTAGAAGTAGCAGCAGTAGTAGAAGTAGCAGTAGTAGTAGAAGTAGCAGTAGTAGTAGAAGTAGCAGTAGTAGTAGAAGTAGCAGTAGTAGTAGAAGTAGCAGTAGTAGCAGCAGCAGTAGTAGTAGCAGTGGTAGTAGTAATAGTAGTACGACTACCACTACTCCTGTTGCCGCTGCTAATACTACTACTGTCACTCTCGGTATCTTCCTTGTCTTTATTTTGTTCTTCTTCTTTTTTTTTTTTCTACTTCTCCTCACTATTATTGCTGCGACAGTTGTTGTTGTTACTATTATTATTATGACTATGTCACAATAAGATAAACATTAAAGAAGTAACATTATGATAAAAACACCCCCCCCCCCCCCCCACAAGATACCCACCTCATCCATTTGTGGAAGAATCTTGATCAGCCCTTTAATCTTCTCCACACCAAAGCTGTGGGCCTCTCCCTTGCGGATGTGTTCTACAATCGAGGAGTTGCTCTTGCGGAACTGTTTCAGGTAGATGTTGACGTTCATGCTCCGCTTGGGGTCCAGCAGACTCACCTGTGTGTACACAGTCAGTCTTCGTTAGTCAGGATCTTTTCAGCTTATAGAAAAGGTAGGGGTAGTTTCGTGCTTTTGATCTGAGAACCTTCTATGTTACCCCCGGTAATTTCGTGCAGCAGGGAAACCAATCCTGAGCTTCATGAACTCAGGTGGGCTCACTCTCTGAAAACGTCAAGGAGCTCGTGGGCCGAAACGTTTGTCGACGAGAGATTACTTATACTGACGATTGGTAGATCCCTGCTGTACTTGCTCCCCTGTGGAGTTTATTCCTACCCCCTTCCTTCCATTCATCCCCAGGAGGCTAACGGAGAGTTTACAACCTGAGATTGCAAACTCTCAATCACCTGATTTTACAAACACTCAGTCTGGATGGCAAGACCACAGGACAAAACATGGATACCCTTTTCAACCTCTAAAGAAGTTATAATTAGAATACCGGTATCAACCACACCAGCTCGGTGTAACCTAAAATCAAACGACCGATCAATTTATCATACCTGTGATGCTTTCTAAATGTTCACCGTATCCTACTGAGATTACAAAGTCCAATTTGGTTCACAGACTAACACAGGAGATCTGAAAAGAAGTTACCACAAGGGTGCCGCTAAGGGATACATAAGCCAGGCAAGACCTGCAGTCCTGTGGAGGAAGGACAGGACCTTGTCATCTGCAAGATCTGTGCGGCTGAGGAGCCCTGACAACATCTGAGACCCTGGAAGCTTCGCGGTAACGTGGTAAACCAGTGTAGGGAGGCTGTCTGGTCTCCAGGTATGGTGTCCGCCTCGAGTGCTAGAGGTTGCGGGATCATCCCGGTAAGGGCTGGGATTTGTTCACGTGGACTTGGACTTCTAGTAACTCCCCTTGGTCTCTGGGTAGTGAGATCAGACGCCCGTGTGTACTGTTGCGCACTTTAAAAAAATCCCTTGGCAGTTGGAAATCGAAAAGAGTAGCCTAACGGCGCTGCCGAGGCAAAATTTGAGTTCAAAATCTACCCAAAGTATTTCAGGATCATCGTCGGTGCTACAGAGCCTGTGCACTGTGATAAACTTCTTTGGACTCGAGTTGCTTGCTTGTTGTACCCCACCAGGACATCACACAAGCGATAAACATCAGATGACACAAAGTGCCACCATGCGGATCAGGATCACCGTGGAGAGGTCCCAGAAATCCCTTTCAGCCGTTATGGTCACATTTGTGGCCTTGCTATATTCAGGGCCCCCCGGCAAAAGCCAGGGTGGGTCTTCAAATAACGAAAAACTGCATCCCACATGGGGACGACTTAGCAGAGTATAATATAAGACTTGAGTAAGAAGAACGCAGCACTTATAGTTACTACCCGTGTGCCATGATGTAGATCCGTTGTTCAAACTTTAGAGAAGAGATACAAAAGGGTAAGAAAAAAAATTTAGTATACGTCAGCTTTACAAAAGCAATTCAAATGAACATACATAGGACTTTGCAGCGATAAGTATTCATCAGCAAAACAACTACAATGAACAAAATACAACATATGCACAGATGTTCGGACTTTGAAATGATTACATAAAAATATTGTGTACACGAGTGAGACAAAATAATAATAGAAATATTTCAATTACTGAGAGTACGATTAGTCCACGAGGAGAATGGGCTAAATTATCTCGGCTGTGTCAGCTGTTGAAAGAACGAGAGAATGGGCTAAATTATCTCGGCTATGTCAGCTGTTGAAAGAACGAGAGAATGGGCTAAATTATATCGGCTATGTCAGCTGTTGAAAGAACGAGAGAATGGGATAAATTATATCGGCTATGTCAGCCGTTGAAAGAACGAGAGAATGGACTAAATTATATCGGCTATGTCAGCCGTTGAAAGAATGAGAGAATGGGCTAAATTATATCGGCTATGTCAGCCGGTGAAAAAATGAGAGAATGGGCTTAATTATATCGGCTAGGTCAGCCGTTGAAAGAACGAGAGAATGGGCTAAATTATATCGGCTATGTCAGCCGTTGAAAGAACGAGAGAATGGGCTAAATTATATCGGCTATGTCAGCCGGTGAAAAAATGAGAGAATGGGCTAAATTATATTGGCTATGTCAACCGTTGAAAGAACGAGAGAATGGGCTAAATTATATCGGCTATGTCAGCCGTTGAAAGAATGAGAGAATGGGCTAAATTATATCGGCTATGTCAGCCGGTGAAAGAATGCGAGAATGGGCTAAATTATATCGGCTATGTCAACCGTTGAAAGAACGAGAGAATGGGCTAAATTATATCGGCTATGTCAGCCGGTGAAAGAATGTGAGAATGGGCTAAATTATATCGGCTATGTCAGCCGTTGAAAGAACGAGAGAATGGGCTAAATTATATCGGCTATGTCAACCGTTGAAAGAACGAGAGAATGGGCTAAATTATATCGGTGATATCAGCTGTTGAATAATAATAATAATAATAATAATAATAAGCTAAAATATATCGGCTAGGTCGGATGTTGAAAGAATGAGATAATAAGCTAAAATATATCGGCTAGGTCAGATGTTGAAAGAATGAGATAATAAGCTAAAATATATCGGCTAGGTCAGATGTTGAAAGAATGAGATAATAAGCTAAAATATATCGGCTAGGTCAGATGTTGAAAGAATGAGATAATAAGCTAAAATATATCGGCTAGGTCAGATGTTGAAAGAATGAGATAATAAGCTAAAATATATCGGCTAGGTCGGATGTTGAAAGAATGAGATAATAAGCTAAAATATATCGGCTAGGTCAGATGTTGAAAGAATGAGATAATAAGCTAAAATATATCGGCTAGGTCAGATGTTGAAAGAATGAGATAAGCTAAAATATATCGGCTAGGTCGGATGTTGAAAGAGTTAAAAAGGACAAAATGTTTTCACTTGAGGAGCAGTCTGCTTTTGAATTTTTCTCTGACATTCATTTTATTAATTTTATTTTTAAAGCAAGAAATTAAAACTGATACTTAACTTAAAATGTTTGATTCTAATGTCAAATCAGTCTGCTGCATGGAGCGGAAACATGGAGAACAACTAAGGCAATTACTAATAAACTACAAACATTCATTAACTAGTACCTGCCTAGAGTAGAAGGAATTAAATGGTATGACAGAATCACTAACGGGGAGCTATAGGAGAGAACTAAACAAGTTCCAGTGGACCAAGAGGTGAAGAAAAGACGCTGGCGTTGGACAGAACACAAGTTGAGAAAACCTGACAATATAACTAGAATGTCTTTGCACTGGAACTCCCACGGGCATAGAAATAAAGGCTGATATAAAAACACATGGAGAAAGGAGCTTGACAGTGAAACTGAAAAAAAAAAGATGGCAGGATATGGGGAGAGCAGCATGCCATAGCTAAGGATAGAGAAACTTGGTGTGAGTTGTTGAGGGCCTGTGCTCCATTAGGGGACAAAAGACAGAAGAAGGAAAGAACGGCGGGTGCTTTATAAATATCCTAAACCAAACAGAGAAAATCCACAGGTCAGGGGACAGTCTAATATTTCAGGTGGTGGTAGATAGGATGCATGCAGTCGTTGGACCTAGGCTGCAGGCAATCGTGGGACCTAGGCTGCACTCTCTCGTGGGACGTAGGTGGGTTGGGGTTAGGGTTAGTTCTAGATTCTTTGAGGTCGTTAAAAGCATCAGAAAGCCGGGAAACCCAGTCTTACTTCCCTCTAAAATGTTGGACTCTCCTGTGACGTCATCTGGGGTAGGTTGTTAATAAAGCACCGAACTGGGTCTCAAGTGAGAGTTCTTCCTACTTTATGAACATGTCAAAATTGTTGGTTGCTTGTCCTTTACAGCACTTTGCAGAACCAAACCCGGCATTTCTTGACTGTTTGATTACACTAGTTCATAGTAGGTTCAGTAGTTTGCCAATGCTTTCTAAATGTTCGGCTCTGATTAACGCTGCTAAAACTAACCTAAGGTGGTCAGCTGCCAAATCACACGCAGCTAAGATCGAACTCTGCGTCACCGTTTAGGCCTAAGCCAAACATAAAGTGATTGGAAACAGAACAGAAAAAATCATATTGATGTTGACAATAAAACTAAATAAAATGAAAGACGAATTACACAAGAAAATTGTTTTGAAATGAGCTAATTTAGAAAACAGGGACTGGTACTATTCTTTTATTTCACCTAACCTCGGCGCTCCGAGATTTTGTCGGGAATACACAGGGAGTTCCCTGGACATTTTATTATTATGGCAAGGGGGTGTTTGAGTTAAGATTGGTTTTCGTCTTCTTCTTCTTTTTCTTCTTCTTCTTCTTCTTCATTTTTCGTTCGTCCCAAATAGATAATCTATATATGCATTACTGTCTCTAGTATGAACTTCACAGCTTTATGTAATCCACTCAGCGACCTTTACAGTTCGGCTTGAACCCGAGATTCTCTTGGCCAGAACTAGGGAATGGTATGAGAACTAGGAATAGAAGGGGTGCGGGCTCTGACAAAGCTCACCTTGGGGTGGCTGCGAGGGCGTGGCCTGGTAAGGAATGACAGTCTCCATGTATGTATACTAGTGGGTTCGGGTTAGGGTTAAATGCAGCAATGCTGACAGGTCAAGGAAATTCGTGAAGTAAGAACATCGCTTCCATTCGGGGCACAAGGATGACGAAAAGCAAACGAAAGTAATACACTGTGGAAATAATGACGCAACAAACAATGCAGACGCTAAAAACAACCAACAGGTGACACCCCTAGAATAAAGAAGTTTCAGTTTTTAGGTTTAGCGTTAAATGCACACCAGCTAACATTAATCCTAAACCAAGTAAAATATAGGACTTTTTGGGAAACTCCCTAGGAATTCCCCACGAAATAGCTCCCGAGATGAGGTGAAATTAATTAACAGTACCCAACAACTGGATTCTCGGTACTAAAAATATGTGCCGTCTCCACAAGGGAGATCGACTGCAGCGCATTCGCTGTTGTCTTTGGGAGTATTACATGGTGAGGCTCCATCGCTTCCATGATGCGATTCTCGTACCACCGTTTAAAAGAC